GGCGGCGGATATGGTGGCGGATACGGCCAAAGCAATTACGGCAACCAAGGGGGCGGTTGGAATCAGGGCGGGGGATATGGCATGAGTGAGTGGTTGGATGTGTTGTCTTAGGAATTGTTTCTAAACATGCATTCCATGTGATTAGGAGGAGGTGGCGGAGGCGGTGGTTGGAGCAGTGACTACAGTTCCAACTACGGCAACAGCTATGGCGGCGGCCCTGTGAGGGGCGGCGGTAACTATTCCCAGAGGGGAAGTGGCCCTTACGGTGGTGAGTCATGTGATAATAATATTTTCGAGTTTATCGATACTGTATTGATTTGACCGTAATATTGATTTGAATATGAATTTGTTGTAAACATTGTATGACTTGTTTGACTGACAGGTGGCTATGGAAGCGGTGGCGGTGGCAGTGGAGGCAACTATGGCGGCGGCGGAGGAGGCGGTGGTGGAAGTTATGGCCGCAGATAAACGCTTTGATTCATTCTTGGGGTAGGAAATGGTTTATTCGTTTGTTGTATAGGAATGGGATGGAAGTGAATGATCTGATTGTTGAAACTAATTATAACTGTATTTAATGAGTCATATGATTAACGTTTGATATCTTTTATTCGTTAAAATTCTAGGATTTGTGTCAGAATTACAGTCAAATGAGTGAGAAATGAGACTAAAGAGAGGCAAAGCATTTAAATGAGATAGAGATCAGACACTGAAGTGATAGTCAAATGAAGTCAACGTCAGAGAGACAGACAGACACTGAATGTGTGATGAATTGAGATGAGAAGTACTCTATCATAGAATGAATGCTTAACTTAATGACAGTAATCCCCAAGAATTGCAATTTATTGTCGACCAGTAAATCACCAAAACTTTCATCATTTATCATCTTTTATTATAAATTTAATTATAAATTGAAATCATTTATTATATTATCAAACGATTCGATGATTATAACAAAACATACCTTAAAATGATTGCCATTTGATTGCATTTTATGCCCATTTAATTGATTATTGACTAATTGTAAACTATATATCATTAATTGAAACATTATTGACATTATTTTGCACATCAACTCAAACACAAATCTATATCTATACTTTACTTTATTATTATTATTGCTATAATTATAAATAATTATTATTACCGTACTATAACTTTAATTAATATTAATAATTTATATATTAGTAATCATTCGTAAGTTAATTTTGAAACGAAATCATTTGTATTAATCGAAGTCTTCTGTAAACATAAAACAATTATTTAGTGTTTCTCGTCTTAACTAAAATTATTTACAATTCGATGTATTTTTTAAACAAATCATTAGTTTATATTATAAATTCATTTCAATTGTCTGTAGACATAGACTATAGGAATAAATACCGAAGTTTCACTAAATTTAGGGAAAGTTTTATTCGTTTGGATTTATAGAAGATTAACAAATAGTTCAATAAAAGCTTAATAATGACCAACAGGTGAGGGCTGATAGCTGTTTGAGTGCTATATTCCGTCATTTATTTCATATTTTCGTATTTAATATTTTCAATTATTTTATTACTTTTAAATATATTTAATGTTTAATTGATTGCATGAAAAGCATAACAATCTCTGCATGTTTTATATGACTAAACATTCCGTTTATTTGTTCAGTTATTTTCATTTTGTTAATACTTTTGTATTTCTTTTTAGGATTTACTCTAAAGAATCCATTCATTCAAACGAGTGACACTTTTTGGGAATATTTTGTAAGATTTTGTTCACTCATTGGGTTTCGTGTAATCTAATCATACCATTCCTCTATATATAGGGCTTTACTCAATGTGAGGCCATTGTATCCCAATTGAAAGGTAAGTATTTGATGTATTCTTGACCTCATAACTGGTCAGTAAGTATACTGCAAGTATTGGTTTGCATTAACCACTGCTGTACAGTACTCCTACAACACAGAGAATTGATGTCAATTTGTCAGTTAATTGACCGCAATATTGAGGAAATATTGATATACAGATTTGCTTTCTAATGAGCCACTCATTAGCTTTGTATTACCGTATATACCGTACTTTGGCTCTCATAGTGCTTAGTCAGTACAGAAACACTAGAGTCACCAAATGGTTAATAAATATAGAATTAAGGTATTGTAAGCACAGCAAACGGATCACCTTACCATAACCATACGAACATTAAGATCATACAGTATGAATATTACGGTACAGGTATAAGGGCTTTATGGATATAATAAAGTAATACTTTTGAATTTTCAAATAAAACTTATTGTTCAACTAATTATTAATTTGTATCGTTAATCATTTCAAATGCTAATTCCTATGAATTAACAGTAATGTAATTGATTGCAAATCCATTGGAGTCAATGGCATGTGAACAGATGTATGAAAATATATTCCGATAGTACCGTACTTTAATACTGTATTTCAGATCGACTGCAACCCCCTCCCACTGGCCCAACCCTCAAATGACAATAATTAACAGTGAAATCATTTATTAGTAAATTCAGTAAAAATAATTAAAGTTTAAACATAAAACCAACACAATTAATTTAAGTATTTAAGTGAAACATTTTATTAAAAGCAAAACTTGATTACAAAATAGTGGGAGGGGTGGGAGTGTTAGCCAAACATGCCTTCATTAGATCGGATGTCGTCTATCTTAAGGATCATTTTGACGAGTTGTGTCGCGAGACTGATCTGTTGCTTCTTACTCGTCAACGTCTCGATCACGTGTTGGCTCTTCATGTCTGCAAAACGCATTCATTTCATTAGCAAATACTGTCCACTCATTCACTCTCACAGACTAACCATTAGTGCCTTTGTGAAGGCAATCGATTCCAAGCCATGGATTCTTTTCCTTGATTTGTCTCGACTTGATTTCAGTGACCGTCTCAATGGAGGCCAGACCGCTGTTCTCCGCCAAAGCCATGGGAATGGATTCGAGTGCGTCGGCGAACGCGCGGAAGGCGTACTGTTCTAACGATGATATCTTGTCGGCCTCTTCGGACACCACTACAGAACAGGCGATCTCCGCAGCGCCGCCGCCATAGACTATGCGGTTGTCTTTGACGAGATTGCGGACAACGCAGAGGGCGTCGTGAAGACTGCGCTTCGCCTCCTCGACAATCATTTTATTGCCGCCGCGGATGAAGACAGTGACCGCTCGCGTGTTGAGACACTCCTCAATGACAAGCATTTTGTCTTTAGTGGTCCCGAACGATATCTCGCGGACAACACCCGCTTTGCCCAACTTCTCGGGCGTCAACTCTTCAAAGCGCGGAACAATTCGACCGCCGGTTGCGATGGCTATGAGTTCGATCTCAGGGCCGCCGACCCAACGAACGGCCGGCAACTCCTTCTGCAGCAGCAGATGGTTGGCCTCGTCGTCGAAACCCCACTGACAGATGACAAGAGTAGTTCCGGTCTCCTTCACCTTATCGACCATTTGCTCGAACTTTTGCTGTTCGTATTTGCGGAGTAAACGGTAGTCCTCTACGGATGTCACGTCCAGCTTATGCTTGGTCTTAGGTTTGGGCGGCTCGAAAGCACAGGTCAAGATGGCTAACTTCACATCCCGGAGCTCTTTAGGCATCTGCGGGTGACTGAAGTCTTTGTCCACTACAACACCCTTTACGAGAAGCGAGTCCTCTAGCCTTCCGCCAGACTTTCCCTCGACTTTAATTAACTCAAAGCAGACGTCTTTTCGGTCCAAATCGGCCACAGATATGACGGCATTGACCGCTATTTCTGCGAATTGTCTCAAACATCGGTTCACTATCTTAGAGTTCAAAGTAGTCATCGCTGTCTGTATTAATGGCTCCAAATTGTTGGCATCGACTGTAAAGCTGTCACTAATGCGGTCCAAATGATTCATCGCATGTCTGGCCGCCATCTCGAAGCCATCAGCTATTCTGATGGGATGTATGCCTCTGTCGATCAGCAGTTCCGCCTGTTCTAAGAGGGCACCGGCGAGGACTGCAATACAAACACACCGTTAGACGAACATCTGTTATCAGGTCTTAGGGAATCTAATGATAGTAATGGTCTGTAAGTCCTTCATCAGTGAATAGAGCTATTGATTAACACAAACGACGGTTCGAAGGCTTAGTATTCCTCTGGCGTGTCGTCTGATCAGCCGATATGAAGAAACTAATATCGGCTGAAATTCGTCACGCAATCAAACCCACAGCACATGCCATCAGACACTGCATACACACCTACGACACCAGTGGTTCCGTCGCCGATCTCGTCGTCCTGCGATTGCGACAACTGGACCATGAGTTTAGCGATTTGGTGCTCGACGTCCATCATCTTCAGGATAGTCGCGCCGTCGTTAGTCACCGTCACGTCGCCATCTGGAGAGACCATCATCTTATCCAACCCTTTGGGACCCAACGACGTCTTCAGAGTGTTGGCCACCGAACGGGCGGCCATTATATGCGACTAAAGATCATAAGAAAGTCATCTTAAGACGAGTCCTCCACTAGTGATCAATAGTTTCCTACTTTAATGGCTTCTGTGCCGACGAGTCGTCTTTGTTTGTCCTGATCTTTGAGGATAAAGAAAGGCCGACCGAACTCGTCGAAGGCAAGGGTTCCCACCGAAGACATTGTCTTTGATTGGATTCAATGCCACCGTTTAGACAATCGATTCAAACAATTAGTTTGGATTCAATTAAATAACACGTGTTATGACTGCGAGACAAACGCTGTATGAGACACACAAAGCATGAATGCTATGGATCTAAAGGTTTCCTATATTTGGGCACAGATTATGACTTTTAAATGACTACACCTACCGGTCATTTGGTACCTTTTACCAGTACAGTGGAATCATTGCAAAACTCATAGTTTATTGAGTTTAAGGGTATATACAATGCATAAACTTTACATCTAATTCATTGAATTGAACTCACATTTGAAAACATTCATCAAATGTGATTAACTAATGAACTGATAATATGAAGCGTTGAGTGACTATAAGTTTGAAACTCATATTTGCCATACATTTCACACTGTATTCAGTGAAGTGAACTGACTTTGAGTGCAAGGCATACATAAAGTATGTGTTTTACGCATACATTTGGCGCTCTTATTGATTGATTGTATTATGTTTGTGAGGGTCTATTGGGTCGCCATTGCATTGCATTGCCTTTTGCGGCACTTCTCTCAACCAAAGGACACACCGTTTGGTTCACTCATAAAGCGGTCATTCATTGGATTGGCATTCAATTGACACTCATATGTGAGCACAACGTATGTATTGACACACATGTGGTGTCCGTCTATACTGTGAACGTAGACATCGGCCGCACAGACAACACGACTCTCACTGACAATGGTTTGCATTTCAGACACGAAATAATGGGAAAAACGAAATCAGACGACGAGACCGAGAAAACGACGCCCGAAGCCATGGAGGAGGACGCAGAGGAGGAGGAGTACGTGGTCGAGAAGATCCTCGATAAGAGACACCGCAGCGGTCGTGTCGAGTACTTCTTGAAGTGGAAGGGGTATAGCGAGGAGGACAACACGTGGGAACCGGTCGAGAACCTGGACTGTCCCGACCTGATCGCCGAGTATGAGGAGCAACGCAAGAAGAAGAAGCAGGAGAACAAAGCGAAGGACACGCCAGACGTCAAGGGGAAGACCGACTCCAACAAGAAGAGCGACAACAAGAAGGGCATCGACGAGAAGAAGAAGAAGCGCTCGGAGGACGAGTCGAAACCGCGTGGCTTTGACCGCAACTTAGAACCCGAGAAGATAATCGGAGCCACCGATGCCTCCGGAGAACTCATGTTTTTAATAAAATGGTAAGATTTGAGTGAAGATACGGTTCCCTCTTTGGTGTCAACTAATGGCTTGCATTGAAACGCAGGAAAGACTCGGAAGAAGCGGATTTGGTTCCGGCGAAGTTGGCTAATGTAAGCGATGGACAGACACTGTGCTGTCAATGGGTATTCGTTGCTCGTTAACCACCTTTTGCTCTGTGTTTAGGTGAAGTGTCCTCAGGTTGTGATAAAGTTTTACGAGGAGAGGCTGACCTGGCATTCCAGTGCCGAAGATGGCACTGACAACAAGGATAAAGCCGACTGAACCACTAGAAGCATATTTGACTCTCATTTAACTTTTTTGACATATTTTTTAACCAATCATTAGTTTTTTGTTCAAATCATCTCTCAAATGAAACCCAATATTATTATTACTATTATTAGAATTCAATGAATGAAAAAGTTTAAGAAAATTGTCTCAAATTCAATTGTATTTAATTCTTATGGTATTTTGTGTTTTTAATAAAGATCATTTTTCTTGAATTTAAAAAGTTTCTGTTTTTAAATAATGGTTTTATGATTATTGTGATAAACGAATCATAGGTTTGCATATTTGAAACATAAATTGATTATTGTTTGGATGGAAATACAGTGAAAGTTTAGACTGAGATGGCAAACAGGTCTTCACTATAGACACGTTTGTCCGGTAATATGAGTGGAGACAATGTTATTGAATACGATTTGTATACAAATTGAAAACTTTAAACACAGGAGTAGGTGTGTAGTGCCTATGTCTGTGCTATATTTATGAGAACCGGTATTTTTCTAAAACCAATGCAAACAAACTTTGAGATAAAACTTCGATTAAATGGGAATAAAATATATTTAATTAAAAAAAGGTAATAAAACATAATTCTTAAGACAACTATCGCACAAAACATTGTATTTGAATGAAGTTATTATGTTGTTATAGATAAGGAAAAGAGTTTAAAAGTGATAATAAGTATAGGAAAGTATTATATAATGCAAAATGTGTTTTGAATGCAAATGAGTGGTAAAAGAGTGTATAAATAGAAACAGTTATGAAGTGAAGCACTGAATGCATGCATACATTGACTGTTAGTGCAGTTATAGCACAGCAAAGCCATTGAATCATTGAATGAGAGTTGCATTCAATTGAAGGCAATATCCAAAGCAATCACTCAATGATTACAGCATTCAGTGAACATCTGCTCATTTGATCCAATCGTTCAATCAGTCGTTTGTCTCAACACTCATTGGATCCGTTAGACACCACAGACATGGAGAATAACCACAACGACATCTCAGGTTTGTCTCAACACCTCTTGTGTTTGCATTTCATTTGATGGGTTTGTTGTCAATTGAATGGATGCGTGAATAGAGAGGATAGTCATGAGTCCTATCAAGAAGGACAAGGATTACACACTTCTTCGTATGGAGAGAGTGAGGGCTCAAGACTTGGATGGCGGCGATGGCGCCAACAAACACATCGCTGGCGGCACTCATACGGGGCTTGTGATCAACAAATCCATCGACGAGTCGAGTAATACCACTGATTATCTCTCTGTTCAATCACTTGTTTACTAATTGTTTGCCACAATCGCGAAGAACTCGAGTGTTCCACTCCTCCAGAGCTTTGTCTGACATTCAAAGTATTTCTCATCAACACCGAGACTCAGACCCACAACCAGGAGAACCGATCGCTGAGGTTCTGGTTTACCACAGATGTGTCGGAAGCGCACAAAATGGGTTTCGCGCAGCAGTTCTTCAGGGATCTCATCAATCCGACGAACTTTCCCAGAGATTACATCGGATTCATAATGAAGATCATGAAGTTATTGCAGATGAAGTACCCGAACATCAGACAAATCGAAGTGGAGCTCAAACTCGTGCAGCAAATGTCGGAACCGCCCGCCCGTCCCAGTAATGACCACTTCTTTACTATATTTTGTCTATACTTTGTAATCACTTATTATTACTTCACATTCAGACTCTATTTTTGCTTTCATTTGGTGTTTATTATCGTCTTTATTATCGTTTAAGTCTTTTCAAACAAAAACTATTTTTAGTATTATATTGAGAGAGAAAAGCGGAGAGAGAGAGAGAGAGAGAGAGAGAGAGAGATGTGTCGAGAAGTGTTGTCTAAATTTATAAACTTACGCCAAATCTATTGCTTTATATTCAATCGTTATACTTAAGTGCGATTTCCTGAGCAAACATTTAATTAAATAAACTTTAATATCAGTTGTGATCTGTTGTTCCGTACCATTAATGTGCGAAAAACTGTTTGCAGACTTCACTGAATACTTATTTTGCATAACTTTGGCGTTATTTTAGAATATGTTTTAATTTGTGTATACTTTCTAAATACGGATCATTTATTTTGAAAATATTTATTTTAAAGCTATATTTCTAGCTTTCACTTAAAACACTTAAATACTTCTACTGTTAGCCATAAACGAAACAATTTTCATAAATAATTTATACAGAGCTTGAGTTTTATTGGTATACAAGTTAATTGATTTGATTTATTTTTATAAGTTGTTGACAATGATTCAAACAAGTTGTCAAAGTGATTTGATGCCAAATATTTGAGTAAATGTATTAGATTTGTTACATTTACCAATAGCTTAATATTCTAGGCATGATAGCTACAATATAAAAATAGCTTAATATTCTAGGTATGATAGCTACAATATAAATTTAGTACATAATATACAGATTATTAAATTAATAGGACTTTGATTACAATATAAGCTTATTTTGAGAATTTGATGATTTCTTAATGAATATACCTGTATATCCATATCCATAGCCTCTAAAAACGGTATTTTAATAAGCATTGGAAATGAATGTTCGGATGATAAGTATTACTACTTAAGAGACTTGCAGTCAACCCCATTTAATGTGCGAAAAACTGTTTGCAGACTTCACTGAATACTTATTTTGCATAACTTTGGCGTTATTTTAGAATATGTTTTAATTTGTGTATACTTTCTAAATACGGATCATTTATTTTGAAAATATTTGTTTTAAAGTTATATTTCTAGCTTTCACTTAAAACACTTAAATACTTCTACTGTTAGCCATAAACGAAACAATTTTCATAAATAATTTATACAGTGTTTGAGTTTTATTGGTATACAAGTTAATTGATTTGATTTATTTTTATAAGTTGTTGACAATGATTCAAACAAGTTGTCAAAGTGATTTTATGCCAAATATTTGAGTAAATGTATTAGATTTGTTACATTTACCAGTAGCTTAATATTCTATGTATGATAGCTACAATATAAAAATAGCTTAATATTCTAGGTATGATAGCTACAATATAAATTTAGTACATAATATACAGACTGTTAAATGAATAGGACTTTGATTACAATATAAGCTTATTTTGAGAATTGTATGATTTCTTAATGAATATACCTGTATATCCATATCCATAGCCTCTAAAAACGGTATTTTAATAAGCATTGGAAATGAATGTTCGGATGATAAGTATTACTACTTAAGAGACTTGCAGTCAACCCCATTACCATATACTCAACGGTGCAAACCATTGACATATAGTGAACCGGTGGCCCCAAAACCGAATCTCGGATCAGGTTTTGTTCTTATCGATCATTCTTTTACTTAAATGTCATTCAAATTAGTAATTCCTGTAATATATGCATCGATTCTAACAATTACTAAACAATTATTAACTCATTTGTAGATCAGAATTCATTAATACAAACTTTAATAACAATAATTGCCATAAAAGTGACTAAAATTTGAATACAATTGTAGAGTTTTGCCATAATATCTAATCAAATTTAAACAAAATCCACGTTTGCTTAATAAATGGTTTGCTTTTAATACATAATTCTCTAGTGTGTGAAATTGGTTATTAATATTGTTTTATTAATGTATTAATTCAATATGTCTAACATTTTCAATCTATAGGCAATTGATTTATATTTGTAATATTGTCTTATAGTGTCGATCGACGAGAGCTTCTTAGGCTCCATACCAGAGTTGAGTGAAGAGAGAGTACTGGAACTAATCGAGTCATCCTATCCTAATCCCATCTCTTTGGCTGACATCGCAAAGTAATTGCTGTTTACTTTAATAATTTATATTCCGTTACTATTATCTCTTTAACTAAACAAGTTTACAAATCATTTGCATTTTAAGTGATTTTTAAAACAATTGCTTTTTAAAACTATTTTTTAAAATATGAGTCATTAAACCGTAAAATGATGTCAAACAGTGTTTTATGATTTGGTGAACACGAGGCCAAACCCTTCCTAACCTAATATAGCATATCTATAGAATTGTGAATAATTTACAAATTTAATTGTTTTGTGAATGCAATGAACTCTTTGATAGTTCGACCCAATCTACCGAAGAAGAGGTTCACTTCCATATACAGGAATTATTGTCCAAAAATTTGATCAAACCTTTAAGCGAAGGCCTGTTTACACGAGTCACTCAAAATGATACTGAAGTCAAGCTGGTTAGACAGATGCCTAAGGTTGTCCGCTCAGAACAGCCTACTATTGCCATCATTACTGCCCAATACTGCGAAAAGTTAGCCGTCGATGCTATGATTGATAATAAGGACACTTATGTCAGATATAAGACTGAAGGTATGACTGATGACCACATTTAGAGTTAGAGCCTAACATTCACTGATAATATTTGCCGTAATCAGGAGAATCAAATGTCTATACATTGGGTAACATTGGATGCCATCGAGTAGTGTCCACTAAATTACCGGCTGTCGGACACTCGAGGGCTGCAATGATTGCGGCCGGGAATACCACAACAAGACTTCTTGGTTTGAATGAATGATTCACAGAATTTATACAACAGTTGCTTATAATGACCGCTTATTTTTAGGAACGTTTCAATGCGTGGAATATGTATTTCTGGTGGGAATCGGTGGAGGAGTTCCTCATTACACAGATTTTCAACGACACGTGCGATTGGGCGACGTTGTGGTGTCGTGTCCTCCCAATCTATTAGACGGAGACTCACGACAGAAGGAATTTGTTTACATTCACTGCGAAAGGATGAAGAACTCACCCGAAGAACGGCTCAATTCTCCCAATTTATCAAAAGATGCCAATTGTATCGAAAATTTTAATTTTCGTTTTTGGTGTCCACCGAGTCTTGAATTGCAAACAATTGCTAAAGAGATTTATGAAAAGGGAAACCAAACGAATGACAGAGTTTGGGAACACTATCTCCAGGAAGGGGTTGATATGTTGCGTGAATCTGAGCCTGATTTTGTCCGACCCGACCCGCAAACTGATAAACTTTATATGTCTATCGGCACTAAAGATGTCATAGAAATGGCACATCCCTGTCCTCCTAATGACACATACGATCCCAGAAGTAATGGGTTCCCAAAGATTCATTTTGGAGCCATTGGTTCGGGACGTATGGCAGTGAAAGATGAACAGATCAGACAAGATATTGCATCGAAATACGGTGTAATGGCTTTTGACTCGGAATTTGATTCAGTCGTTGAATCTGTTTTCGGTAACCGAAAAGACAAATATATATTTTTGCGCGGAATCGCTGACTATAAAGACGGCACCCGTAAGAAGGAATGGCAGCCTTACGCCGCCCTTTCCGCCGCCGCTTATATGAAAGCCATTCTCTGCGCTCTAAGTCCTTTCGAAGACAATTAAGTTTTGCCCCAATTTTTGTTAATTTTTTACTCGATATTTTAATTGCGATTTTTGTCCAAACTTTATATCATTTGAAACGATTTAATATCATTTGATACCATATTTATGACATCTTTTAAATATAGCAAACTTTATGAAAGTTTTCTATTATTTAATTCTGTAGCTATTCTCACATCAAATCCTCTACGTGATGAAATTTATCTCATTTTAAAATAACTAATTATCAACAAATGCAACTAAATCTAAATGTTTATAAATATATGGTAATTCATGCTGAAACCAAAGTTATATACAAACAATTGAGTACTCAGTGAATATATAGTCAGTAACTTTGTGTTTGACTCAAATATATCGGATAACTTATTGCAGAATAGAAACTTTTGTGTATTACTCTATCAAGGGATATAACATATTAGAAATTTTATTTTATTTTTAGTTATTATAAGAGATACTTTTCAAATCGGAGTGAAAGACATAAGTATATGAATATTGAGATCATTATTTATAATTTTAAAATAACAACTATTTGTCAAACAATTAGTAAGAATTATTTTAATTGGTTTTTAAAACTAATTCATGTAATACGAGTGTCTTTATTAGTCAGTAGAATCGTATTGAAGTCCACATTATTTGATATAATCATTAATCTTAAGAATTTTAAAACATACAAAAAACATTTATTATTTTTTACAAAAGACTTGTTTCTAAGTTGAAACACTTTTAAGCCATTTTACAAATTTCACTTAAGTTACATTGGATGCCAAAAAGTCATCGATTAATCCAAATATATCAAAGATTTATTTGTTACCATAACTCAAAAGTCATACGAATTCTGTGATTAAGACAAAAGCTTTATAAGAATGAAATATTCTGGAAGTAGTGTACAGTATATCAGCCAACAAACCATAGCCATCTGAATATAATAAGTGACTATTTATAAGTAAATAATTTAAGGATTTTTAGTTAAATATTGTATTTCATAACAAAATTCTTCATAAAAATTATGAGTGATTGTCATTGAATTATTTAAATGTTTGCAAATTGAATCAATTTTTGCTATACTTTGACTATATTTAATGAATATTTATTATTATTAATACTTTTTATTGTCCATAAACACAACCTTTTCTTTTGAACTCTATTTCCAATTGTATTAAACACTTGAAACTAAACTACTTAACAAAATACTAAAATTTATAATAACTTATAATTTACTATAAAACTTTAAATATCAGGTTTAACTCAACCAAAGCTCAAATCACATTTAAATTATGAAAACTTATAAAAATTGAGATTTATTTGAATTTAATATAAAATGTTTAAATTAAAAATTGTTAACATATGTGTTATATATTGATATATAATAATATATTAATCGAAATAGAGTTTAATAATTAAAATGATAATAAACTTAAGAATGAAATAATTTATGAATTATTATTAGGATTTGCGTCCGCAATGAATGCCGAGTTGTTATAACTCATACTGTCTTTGCTTTCCTTATAATTAATACTTTTAAGGGATGAAACGGCAGATGAAGACGGAGAGGAAGGCAAGGGTTGCGATAAAATGTTATTCTTCTCGTCATCGATGTCCTGCTTATTAAGTCGATCTGAAAACTCTTGTAATTCACTTCTACTCAAATGCTCGACAATTGCTGATCCATAGGCGTCACCAAGAACATTAATCGGTGTTCTTAAGCGATCCAAAAGCCAGTCAATAATGTAGACGAGGGCCACATCCTGTCGTTATTATAATACAGTATACTGTAAGCTCTCTATTATGCAAACATTATGACCAAATTATATACCTCTGCTGGAAGTCCCAAAGCATTTAATACTATAACCATTGTTATCAAACCGGCCTATTATTGAGATAATATCAATGTGAACGAATTTGTTAAAATTTAATTTCTTATAATGAAAAACCTGTGGTATTCCAGCGGCTCCTACAGAAGCAGCCGTTGCTGTAATGCTGACGATAAGAACTTTTGCAAAATCCATATCAAAACCTCGGGATTGAGTGATGAAAAGAGCGGCCACTGCTTCGTATAGTGCCGTCCCGTCCATATTGATTGTGGCACCGATTGGTACACAAAATCTGACGACATTTCTGTCGATTTTGTTCTTCTCTTCGAGACAAGAGATGGTAACGGGAAGTGTGGCCGCGGAAGAAGCCGTCCCAAAGGCCGTCATCAAAGCCTCAGTCATTTTACCCAAAAATATATACGGATTTTTGCGAACAAAGAAATAGTAGATAAGCGGTAAGAATATGAAGCCATGGATTATAAGACCGATGGCAACGGTTAGAGCGAAGAGACCAACACTACTGAGTAGTGCTCTCACGTCGTCGACGGACACAATCCGAGGCAAAATCAGAAACATTACGCCAATTGGAGTGAACTTTATAACAATATTTGTGATCTTTAGAGTCGCTTCACTCAGACTCGTGAAGAAGTTAAGTAATGGTTTTCCTTCGCCTCTCATCCGACCGATGATTATTCCCAACACTATAGAGAAGACCACTAAACCCAAAATGTTTGTCCCGCCGCCGGACGTGCCCTTAATCTTCCACTTGTAAACGTCTGTCTCATTACCGATGGGCATCAGTGTAGTCGAGTACTGAGCAAAACAGGCCTCCACTAAGTTTGTGGGGAAGAGATTCCTAATATAAAAGAGATTTTTCTATAATTATTCTCTATTATATTTTCCCCATTACTTCAATTGAATACCTTATCAGATCCAGAATAGTATCAGCAGTTGTGGTAACTCTAGGTTTAGGGCCGTCAGCACTGCGTTCGACAGTGCTTTGATATCCAGGTCTTATGGTTAGTACTAAGAATATTCCTAATGAATAAAGTTGATGAAAGATTATTTGTGAAAGACTTGTGTTTGTATGGAAACGAACCCAAAAATATAGCCAAAACAGTTGTGGCTAAATAGTAGAGAACCGCTCGCGAACCGATATGACCCGAAAGTTTTGTGTCCAGATTTCCGAGCGATGATATCAGACTCGATATAATGAGCGGTAAAATAAGACACTTAAGCATCCGGAGGAAGATATCTCCTGGAAATTCCAAATACATGAGATGTCTTTCACTCCATTTGTCGGTCGAGCTTCGGATGATTATTCCGACAATAATGGCCACTAATACGGCTGATAGGGTGGCCAATGCTAGCAGATTCTGTCGCACAAAACTTTCCACACGACTCCTCCGACTTCTGGAGTCATATTCAACGGTTCCGTATTTGGTCTCCGATAGTTTCGGTTCACTTATTTGTAGTACGTTTTGAGTCATTTTTATTTTATTTATTCAATTGTTATATTACAATTATATTAAGTATTTATTAATACTTATTAATACACAGCTAATACATTCATCAAAATCTGAGAAATTAAATTCTTATTATTATTTATGATTATTAATGTAAACAGGAAATTATAAGTGCTTTTAAAATAAATAAATTTTAATGTTTTTATTAATTATCAGTTTGTGATAAAAGTTTTCATAAGTATTGCCAATTGAATACCGTAATCATGAGACAGATACAAATGAACACTTTGGCTGATAAATATTCACTTATAACTTATGTATTAACAATAAGTTTAACTTTAGTCTCACACAAACTTTGAGATGAGTTTCACTTTATATTCAGTGGAATATTATGTATAATTGATTTTGACAGATATAACTATAAACATGTAATTTAATTATATATCGATCACAATAGAAGTGAATTTTGAGTATAACCCGGAATTACACGAATGTTTGCACAGAATATTTATTGTTTGTATAATATTTAGAAAGTAGTGAATGAACACAACTATTG